AAAAAAGTGTTCAGAACATTTTACAAATTTGTAAAATCGATCATAAGTATCGTTTTATGGAAATCTCTTTTATTTTAACGTACATGAAAAAAAAGATTAATATACCATTGTTTTAATTTTTGACATCAAACAGGAATAGTCACAGGAAGTTCCCAAGATCTGCAATATTTCAAAGAATAAAATGATACCTAAAAAAGACGCCTTTTTATTGACTCAATAGAACATCAATAAGATATCACCTTGCTATTTATTGGGTGAGTGCAAAAGTTCGTGCGGAGTTTGTGAGTAAAAGTCACACAGTGATTAGGCAAACAAAAATCTTTATTCAATCAATGATGTATTCTCCATCGTTTTCTATAATCTTTTCCCAACGTTCTGGCAGCATGCGGATGCCTCGATCATAAAAACTGCGCGGTTTAGATTCGAAGAACGAAGAGACGCCGTTTTTTAAGGCCTCCAAAGAGTTAAAGTTTTTTCCATTTAAATAATTTTGCAATGACCGGAACAAGTGATAGTCAGGTGGTGCGATATCAGGAGAATACGGTGGATGCGTTAAGACATCCCATTTCAGGCTCTTCAGTTTGCGCAGCGTCTTTTTCGAAACGTGTGGTCTGGCGTTGTCGTGATGAAAGACGACTCCCTTGCGATTTGACAAAATCGGACGTTTCTCTTTTATTTCTCGATTCAGATTGGTTAATTGGCGACAGTACTTGTCCGAATCAATCGTTTCGCCAGCGGGGAGAAGCTCGAAATAGATTATGCCCTTGCAATCCCACCAAACAGAGAGCATCACCTTCATCGGGTGCAAACTGGCCTTTGGCATTGCGTCATCATGCTCACCTGATTGTTTCCATGTCCGTTTGCACTGAACATTGTTGTAGAGGACCCATTTCTCATCGCCCGTCACTAGTCGATCCAAAAATGACTCGTTATTGAGCCGCCCGAGTAAAGAAACGGCTGCAGAAATTCGCTTGATTTTGTTCTTCTCGGTCAACAAATGGGGCACCCATATATCGAGCTTCAAATCGAATCCCATCTTTTTTAAACGCCGAAAACCGTTTGATCAACCGACCGGTTGATTGGTCAACGTTTAGTGCTGTAGCAACTTCTTCTGTTGAAATTCGCGGATTATTGAGCACTAAAGTACGCAAAACATCGTCATCAATGTCAGAAGGTCGACCAGAGCGTGGCTCGTCTTCAAGGTTAAATTCTCTGCGCCGAAATTTAGCAAACCATTTTTCCACAGTTCGTTTAGCTGGTGCTTCATCCTGATAAACATCCTGAATGTTTTTTACGGCTGCGGCAACGTTTATTCCCTTCCGAAACTCGTAAAGCATAACATGCCGTAAATACACCTTATCGATACTCATTTTTAAAGTGATATTTCTCGAAGCAGTTTATATGAAAACAAATGATTTTTTTTTAATAACAGCTGAAGACGTCACCTTTCCAACGTTATATAATATGTAGATGGAAGTATTAATGACAACACTTTACGGTGCTTATAACTCCATCTATTGAAACTCCGCACGAACTTTTGCACTCACCCAATAGAATAATACAGGTCTTAAAAACATGCGGTAACTATTTTCGAATTAATAAGACGTCTAAGTTTGGGATATGAAACTAAATCATTGTAAAATTAAATCGTGGTGATTAAATATAATTGGTGATTAAATATGAGAATTACAGCAATATACAAAGTGTCCCATAATTGTAACATACCAACTCCATAGGGGCGTAGAGCTAAGCGAGAGGAACGAAAAAATGCTCTTCCATTTAGCAATATCTTGTATAATTTTTTAATAATAACCGCAATTTGAAATGTTGCTACAACATTGAAGATCCCATACAGTACAACAAGATTGCAGCGACATTGCAGAAATATTACATTGTGACATTGCAATATTGCAGCAATGTTACGTAATGTCGCTGCAACGTTGCAGAAAGATTGCAGCAACGTTGAAATGTCCGCCCTCAGAGAGATTGCAGTGCAACTTACAGCAATATTGCTGTGCAATATATTTGCAATAATGTAGCGTCATTGCACATAAGCATTGAGCAAACACTAAGTAACAATAACATGACATTAATCTTATAAATTTTCACTCAACAATGTAATAGTTATATAATATACGCGTTATATTATTTTTATCCTTAGGAAAAATTATTTTAAGATGTTTAAATTAACTTAAAGTTACTTATAGTTACCTAAAATTATTTATAATAGTTAACTATATAAATTACTTACAGTTAACTATAAGCAACTTTAAGTTAATTTGGAAATTTTAAGTTATTTTTCCTAAGGGTACATTGTTAAATGAACAATTATAACATAGATAATAGATATTTCTTTCTCCATGGGGACATGGTCTAAAATGCTTCGAAGCGCTGTCTAGACAATCATAATTATTCTTTTCGCTCTCCAAAGCGTTTGTAGTTCCATAAATCCTATTTAATATGTGCGCACACAATCGCAACTGATGACGAAATTCGAGTTGTCGCGCATACGTATCCCCAGATAGCACCGGACATCCAATGGATGTACGTTTCACGTCCAATTTATGTCCATATGTCGTTTTACACGATTTACGTCCGTAGACATAAATTGGACGTAACAAGGATGTCCTTATTGCACATCGGACCTGTAGGATGTCCGATGTACGTCCATCGGACGTTCTATGTCCGAAGTTATGATAAACGTACGTTCTATGGACATCTTTTGTAAAAAATGGACATATAACGGACATCCAATGGACATCCATGTGCTATCTGGGTCGGTAGCTCTAACGAGAAAAATCTTATTTTCAGTATTCTCGTCTTATTTATAATAATAATTAGACAACAAAGCATTAAAATGTTTTTGCAATGTTTCCAATCAGAGTACGTCCTGAGAACGAGCTGAGGTTTCTTCCTTTTTAGGATATTTCTGCGACGTCTTCAGATCTTGTACGGTCGCGGACATAAAGGTTGTCACTTTTTTTTAATGACTTTCGGGACGCATCCCATCTCGAGAAAGATGAGAGTTGCTGCTCCGCCTGCGGAACATGCCTGCGCGGTAACTTACAACGAAATGCGAGAAATGAAATATACGTGGTATGGCATAAATATGTCAACAATCATCGCGTTCAGCGGAGAAAACCGTTCAGTGAGCGATTAGTGACTAAAAAAATACGATTTCATTTAAAATTTAATATACATACCTGTTTAATACCTTGAAAAAGATGCATTCCCATTTGAGTGACTTGCACTATGTATCTATCCCTTCGCTGCTGATTATTCAAAATGTAAGAATTGGGTGCGTTCACGACACTCAACGGTCGAGCAACTGTGGAATAATTCGTCAACGTTATTGATCTGAATGTAAGGATCTAATAGTAAGGACCAATAGTCATTACTCGCTCACTGAGCGGTTTTCTCCACTGAGCGCAATGATTGTTGACATGCTTATGTCATACCACATATATTTCATTTCTCGCATTTCGTTGTGAGTTACTGCGCAGGCGTGCTCCACAGGCGGAGCAGCAGCTCTCATTTTTCTCGAGTCGGGATGCGTCCCGAAAGTCATTAAAAAAAAGTGACAACCTTTATGTCCGCGACCGTACTATCTAGGATGGAAGATTGCATTTCCATTTCTGAGCAATGTTTCTGCGATATTGCAGTGCAAAATTGCAATTTCATTTTCGAGTAATGTCTCTGCAACATCGCTCGGAAATTTGCAATCTTGCAAGATTGCTACAATGTAACTGCAATCTTCTGTGCTATATGGGATATTCCCATATAGCCCACTCGGCATGTAATATCTCTAAAACATTGCTACAATGTTTCATTTGAAATATTACACCTTTCAGCATTATTATAGAAATATTTCACGACTGTTTCAGAAACATTTCTGCAATGTTTCAATGTCCGCGATCATTTTAAATGCAACCTTGCTGGAAAATTTCCGCAATATTTTGGTAATATGACTGCAGCATTTCTAAAACATGCTATGTAATATTGCAGAAACACCTCAGAATATATATTTCAGATACATTTCTTTCGAGAAATTGTGGATATATTTCTAGGGCTCCATTCTCGAACTTGTACGATAAATTTTCACGTACGAAAGTAATACTGTGCGTTCACTGATTGGTATTAACTTTTTCATCTCAAATTACATACCAATCAATGAACGCACAGCATCACTTTTGTATGCGAAAATTTATCGTACGCATTCGAGAATCAAGCCCTAGAAATATATATATTACTGTTTATATATATACTTACTGTAATACATATTTTGAAATAAATATATCTCAGAAATATGTCTAATACATTTACATTGATTATATTAATAGAAGTCGTTTGCCAGACGGTGCGTTTCCACTGAACGCGTCACGCGTCGCGTCAACTGTTGTTAGCAAATCAAAATATCCTATTTGTGATGTAATAAAATGGGATGTTTTGATCGGTTAATGACGGATATTGCGACGCATGAAGCATTCAGTGGAAACGCACCCTCTGGTAGACTTCTATTAATTATTATGATAATTAATTTACATTATGATAAAAATGTGTGTAAAAAATTGAACACTTCCATTTTGTCATGGTTTTCTAAATATCTCTTTTATTATATTTCTTACAAGAGAAAAAGACAATATTAGTAATTAAGTAATTTAAGTAATGATAATTAAAGTATTGAGTAATGATAATTAAAGTATAATCACTTTAAGTTATATAGTATGTTAAATCTTAGAACAGAAAAATGTAATACATCATAGACAGAAAAATGTAAAAAAAACCTCTTAAAAATATTATTATATAGTTTCTTTCTTGTCGTCAGATGTACTTTTTTAAATCATGGAACAGAAAAATGTAGTATGTTAAATCATAGACAGAAAAATGTAAAGAAACCTCTTTAAAATATTATTACATAGTTTCCTCTTCGTCTTCAGATGTAGTTTTATCACTATCGTTTTTCGAAGTATGTTGTTCAATTAGAATTGCGTCTTTTTTTGTCTCTTTAGCTCTGAAAAATATATATATTTTAATACATTATACAAATTTTAATACTTATACAGTAAAACTTTTATGTAAAGTTAGTATTACTTTTCTCTGGATAAACGTAAATTTGCTTAGGCTAACCAAGGTGCAATACTTCTACGTTGCACATTATACTCGTCAACGTTATTACGATGAAGTTGAGCAGCTTCTAAAAGTTATTATTGATTATAAATTAAATTGTGCACACTTATGCTATACAATTGATATCATTATCATCAAAACTTACTGATTATGCATTTGAATAAATTCGTATTTTTAAACGCTATTTTCGACTGTGCGTCATCCTTTTTTTTTAAGTTTTTGTCTTGAATATTGAAAAATGTAGCCAATTTATTCGTTATAAATCTTCTTAGAATATTTTGAACCAATTCGTGTGTCTCTGAGCCACCAATACATTTTATGAATTTAGCCTACAGAATAAGTATGTTCAAGTACAGAAATAAACAATTCATTCAGTAATTATAAATTTGTTAAAAGATAAAGAAGATATTAAAATAATAAATGTAACAAAATCTATTCTATTATAGAAAATCATTCTATTATAGAAAAAAAGAAAATATTACAAAAAGAGTACTATCGTTATTCTAAATAACCGATTCTGCACAAACTGTTGCAAACTTCCTTAAACTAATTATTTTTTATGAATATTGTAGAGTATACATATACGTAAGTAAAATAATAAATGTAGAATAGTAGAATATTTTAAATAAAAGAATAAATAACTGGTAGAAGTTTTATTCTTTTTATAAAAAATATTAGACAACATATTCAGTTCTGGTGATCTGAGATACACGATTCTTGTTAAAAAGTAGTCTTTCAATTACTAGTTTTTGTGCTTTTCCTACACCTTTAGTTTCTAAGACCATGCAAGGTTGTATATATTAAATGTAAAATGAGAAAGTAAACTCTTATAACATATAAAAATAATATGCTTTTCACTGCACTCCTGCATCAATTCGTATAACTATTGTATAAACATACATGCACAAACATTCATAATATATACCCATTATTGCAATATACAAATTTTTTTAATTGAAATATTTATATGCAGAAAATATTAATTAAAATATAAAATTAAGAATTATTTTAAAAATAAATTAATAAAACATTAATTTAAAACAATGTAATCTGAAATATCAAAATTTTTAACAAATATGTTAAATTAAATTAAAAAAAATTAAAATTATAAGAATTTTACCCAATACCACAACTATAGTAAGCAATCTCATTAAAACACACTACAGTTACCTTTTAATCTCATATTGGTAAAAATTATAATTATTTTCCGTGTAGCCTTTGCCTTCTTACAAATTATACATGAACCTATAGTTCTTGTACCTAACTGTTCTTGTACCTAAAAATGTTTTATTATTAATGTTATATTATATCTGCTCCAAGCAAGGTGCATTTCAGCATATTATTTCAATAAAGGACAAATTTATATTGTCGACCAAACAGGCAGAATAATTATATTATAATATTTTATAATTTTTTAAATAATTTAGTTTTTATAATTTTTTACTTATAATAATTTTTAATACGTTTTAAAACTTTTATATTTTATAATTTATATATTGTTAGTTTTTCATAACTTTTAAAGAAATTAGAGCTATGGTATTAATAATAAGGATAAAAATTATAATACAATTGTGTACTTACCACTTGTCGAAGATGTTCATGTTTATCTAATTTGTTGTCAACTTCATTAAACTTGTCAACTATTTGCAATGGTATAAAATCTTCAATTTCGTCAGTTATAGAAGTTTCATTTGTTAATCTACCTCTTCTTGTATTTAAGATATTTTCAATAATCTGTATTCTTTTATTCAAATCTTCAATTGAAATTGTAAATTTATTAACTTTCTTAATTATATCCTTGCTAAATTCTGAAATAAAAAAAATTACATCAAATAATTACAAACTCTGATAAAAAAAGTAATAAAAAACATTTTTAAAACTGATTCAATAACACATACTGTACGTGATATTTATCTATAAGACTTAAAAGCATTTCTTCAATGTTAGAACTACTGAGGCGAGTTAAATGTACAGCTGGTTTCAATAGACTTTTTTGATATACTATTGAACTGCTTTGATTATCATTGTTATCGTAGTTTGCAGGTAATGTTAATGAAGAACTACTATTAAGACTATCACCAACTGCTGTTTCCTTTTCAAAATTTCAAACCCTGAAAATTCAAAACCTGAGTTTTTTTAGCATCTATAAAATCAACACAGAAAGAATGCAACGCAAAAAATACAATAAAAGAAACTTATAGCATTTATACAGAGTGGATAATTATACATTTACAAAACTATTAAGCCTCCTGCGAATATCACTAAAAAAAAACGCGCTATGCTATCTATTGCCAGGTGATGTGGAAAAGATAGCATAGATAATCATTTTCGCGAGGAAAACGTGTGAAGAAAACGCGCATTTATTTATACATTCAGAACGTCTCGCGTCGAGAGAGAGAGAGAGAGAAAGAGAGAGAGAGAGAGAGAGAGAGAGAGAGAAAGAGAGAGAGAGAGAGAGAGAGAGAGAGAGAGAGAGAGAGGCGTAAAGCAGATGGCACATAACTTAATATTATTAAAAAATTAAAGTGCTTATTTTAAAATTATTGAATGCGTTATGATAAAATTGTTATGAGATTATCTCACCTAAAGATTTATTTGTAGTTGTAGTATATTGCAAAAAAGATTGAAATTGTGCTGGCTTTAATGGCAAATTATGAGAGACTTTTTTGACTTTTTTAGTAGATTTAGCACTGTTGTAACTTTCGTCGTTTGAAGTGGTGGCATCATTTGTAAATTGATATATTTTTTTATGACGTTTTGATCTTGATTTTTTCAACTTAGTTTCATCTAATTCAGATAATTCTGCATCAGATACTATTTGAATAATTTGTAGAATGTCTTTTGCACTTGAGTAATCATCTGTAAATTAATATATACATATAAATTGATTGATATATTTATTAATCATTAACAATTAACACTCAAATTTTCATGTATGTGTGTGTGTATATATACAGGGTGTTTGATAGCTGATCATGCAGACGAAAGTTGGAGATAGATTGGGTGTAACCGAGAAGAAAAGTCATATACCATAATGTCAAATTAGCAATAGTTACAGAGTTATTAATTAAAACATGTGAGCCAACGAGCGCGTAGAGAGCGGAGGGCGGCCGCAGTAAGCACGTAGACATTTGATACAGGCGGAGTCAATGAGTGGCGGTAGGCAAGCGCACGCGGCGAGGGGCAACGTAAGCGACAAAAGGCGATCGCGCGCGATGAGGAGCGAGCGAGCTTTTTCTTTATAGCTTTTTCCTTATAGCTCGCTCGCTCCTCGTCGTTCGCGCTCGCTCGCTCTTCGTCGCGCTCGCTCGCCTCTTGTCGTTTGCGCTCGCTCGCTCCTCGTCGCGCGCGTTCGCCTCTTGTTGTTTACGTTGCCCCTTGCCGCGCGCGCTCGCCTACCGTTACTCGCCGACTCCGCCTGTATCAAACGTCTATGTGCTTACTGCGGTCGCCCTCCGCTCTCTACGCGCTCGTTGGCCCATATGTTTTAATTAATAATTCGATAACTATTGCCAATTTGACATTATGGTACATGACTTTTCTTCTCGGCTACACCCAATCTGTCTCCAACTTTCGTCTGCATGATCAGCTATCAAACACCCTGTATATATATATATATATATACACTACAAACCGGAATCTCTTGGACGTCTCGGGTCACTATATTTTAATATATTTGAATATTTAAACAAAAATGTCATGCTTGTTTTTTTAGTTTATCGTATATTTTCACTATTTACTTTTCTTAAATCACTGTAAGCTAAACAAAGAAGTGAAGATACCCTAGTGGCCCAAGAGACTCCAATTTACAGCATAAACAATTAAATAAGATTTGTTACTTACCCTTTGACATTAACATTTTATCAAAGCTTATTTCATCCCAGTCACTTTCTGGTTCGCACATGTTACAAATTGCTGTATTAACCTCATTTACATTTTTGTAGGAAGGCCATTGGAATGTTGCTTTATTTTTCGATAACCAATTTTTTGGTACTATCCGAAAATCACCTGTAGATATCTTACAAATATTGTAGTTGAACATTGCTCACCGTCAAAATGTAAAAATGATACACTTTGCTAAAATAACTGAAAAAGCTTTGTTGCATCAGTCTTCTCCATTTTTCCAGAACTGCACTGAACGTAATATCGTGGCTACCATGCCTACATTCTATACCATCCTTAAACAGGAAGCACACACTATAGGTTTGTTCGTAAAGGGCCGTCTACAATGGAAAGTCATAGGTCGTTGCAGTAAGATATTAAGTAATCATATTATTATTCTTCTCACATTAAACTGTGATTGGTTAATATCTTACTGTTATGACCTACGTCTCTCTATTGTGGATGGCCCTTCATGTTCTGTGTGAATATGTATGCGTCCAGATGTGACTTCCGGTCGAGCGTTGAAAAAGAATCGACCCGCGAACATGACTCCGAATTGATGTGTTCTATGTCCGCTCCTGTTAGCATATTTCATTCTTATTTTAATAAGTTAATTCTTAAACTACATTTGTAAGATACCTACAGGTGATTTTCGCATTGTGCCAAGAAATTGATTTTCAGATAATAACGCAACATTTCAATAGTCTCCCTACGGAAATATAAATGAGGTTAACACAACAATTTATAACATTCTTATTTTAATAAATTAATAAAAAATAATCATTTGCAATAAGACGAGCTCCTTTTTATGGTAATTGCAGAAAATGTTCCGCAATAATAATATAACAATAATAAATAAAAACATACAAATAATATATTAAGTTTGTGTGTATGTTTCCAGCGTTGTTTATTGAAAATGACAGGTACTTATTGAGAAAATGTAATACAATCTTAATCATGAAAGTATTTTCCTGACTCTGTAGCCCATAAATCTCTCTAGGCCACTTTAGCCCATAAATCAGGTAGTCTTCACATTCTTTGCACAAAAGATTGTGGCTTAAAGGCGATGAAGTTGTCGAAGCAATTTTTGTTATCATCGACGTTTGCAAAGCACTGCCCACAAAGTGTGTGCTGTAGGAACCTAAACAGATGATAATCTGAAGAAACGAGATCAGTTGAATATGTTGCATATGAAAGAACTTCTCACCTTAGGTCGAAAATTGTTTGTTTTGTCGATAAAACGATATGGGGATGAACATTGTCATGCAGCAGTATGACCTGTTGCGTTCCTTGGCCAGTAAACAATCGTTTCTCTTCCATTTTCTTGCTCAGAGCAATTGCCGAGCGCAACAGCAATCACTCCATTTTAGTAAGAAAAAATATTTTGATAATAAATATACTTTGATAATTAAGATTGTATTCCATTTTCTCAATAAGTCCTGTCATTTTCAATAAATAACGCTGGAAACTTATTCACACCTGATAAATGATAACAATAAGTAGACTGTGTATACTAGTATAGTATATATTTGTTTTTATGATACTTTTTAATGTTTAGAATATTAATATTTACAGCTGAATGTAGAATGGCGGATGATAAGAGACAGAAACAAATTCGTTTCTATTCAGATAAACATAACCGTCGTCTCATACAACAACAAACTGAAGCTGATGTATACAGAATTTTTGGTGCATTAGAAAATCTGCCATCATCATTTATCCCTATCCAAACGATTAATCCAAGTGGAAATGAGAGATTGATTCATACTAGTGATCAAGTATTGGAACATAGTGAATATGACAATTGATTATGACATATTGCAACTGCAGGATGAATATATAATATTTAAGTGTATAGTATATACAGGGTGTTTGAAAGCTTATCATGCAGACGAAAGTTGGAGATAGATTGGGTGTAGCCGAGAAGAAAAGTCATGTACCATAATGACAAATTGGCAATAGTTACCGAATTATTAATTTAAACATGTGAGCCAATGAGCGCATAGAGAGCGCTGGGTGGCCGCCTCTTGTCGCTTATGGGGATCAACTCGGTTAGGACGCGGAAAAATTGGTGATTTTTGTGAATTTTTATCTAAACAACAGTAAAGCGAATCTTTCTAAAACTTTACAGGTATTTTAGTCGATGTTTAGGCAATAAACAAAATTTATAATATTTAAACATTATGCATATAATATCGCGATATGAGAATGTCTTCGCAGCGCCGCGTCGCAGGAGTTATAAATTGGCGTGCATGATAGCGGATCCAATTCTTGTCTGAAACATATGAACCAAATTTTTTCTTATTTGTTATAGAATTATATCGTCGATGAACTTAAAAAACTAAGACAAAAGTATAGAATTACAAAAAATGCGAGATTGTAAAGGTAAAGGTACGATTTTTTACGACAAAATTTCGATTTACTTTTGCAAAAATAATTGATTAATGTAATGTTTTTTATAAATGTTTTGAGTTCACCGACGATGGTTGGTAATTAGTTAAGAAAAAATCGCCGGCAGACGTCGATCGGTCGAATAAATTTTTCTGTATCGTGCACGCCAGTTTGAAAGAAGTGAAGTTGAGAAAAACGCGTTTAAAGTTTTTGCTACGAAAAAGTCATGGTTATTCAATACTTACAGCAGTCATAGGCTAATCTGCTATACCAGGCGCATACAGCAAGTCTTCCGCTTCCTCATAGAACTCGTGCTGTCCCATTTGCAGGATTCTACGAGCTGTTCGAGCCTCCTGCGTGCTGCTTGATCTGCGGCGCTCTTTCTGCTGCACTCGCTGCGTCTCGTAGTTGTCGGCGAAACATCTACATTGTTGCCCAATTTTTATGTCTAGGACATTCATTATTTTTAAAATTGACGAGTATCCTTCATTAAACACACCCGCAGCAATGAAGGCGGCGATTTCTATAATTTTTGATCCCGAATGTAAATGTTTTGGGACTAGGCGCCAGATAGTTGAATTAAAACTCTCGTTGGAGTTTTGTGTGTGTCCACCTAAACATCTTGTCAAAATCTGTTCCTTGGAAAGGTCCTCATAAATTGGGAGCAAATGTTTTACGACCTCTGGGTGAAGTGGAGGGGGATGGTTGAAATCTTTACTTGCCGCCTCAGCCTTATGCCACTTGCACCAGCTGTCGGCCCCGGCCGGACAATTGTCATGCTTCGGATTTTCATTTGTGGAGCATAAATGATGAAGTGTTGCCATTATAGCTTTCTTCATTCCGGCAACGGAATCTACATTTCGCCTTATTGCTAATCCATAATATTTTGTTAATTTAGTAATAAGGACATTGGTCAATTTTCCTTTTCCACCAAGTTTTTCCCTTGTTTTTACATTTCGGAGCCGCGTGCCCATCCGTTTCTCTACATGTCCAACGCACTCACTTTTCACTACCGGGAGATCGTCGCCATATGGATTTAGATCTAAAATGGCTTTGTACGTTTTGGAATCACCGTCTCCAATGTAATTAGTGTACGCCACGCCGAATTTCTCCTTGAACCTCATAAACATTTCTTGCACGGCGTCGACCTCCATTTTACCCGCGGAACCGGAATGGTTTGCAAAACACTCTTCTTTGTGCTGTTCGTACCACTCAATATATTCGTCAGTACTTTTCTTTTTGTTTCAAAACGTACAGGCTTGGCAGTATCCGCTTTTTACGACGAGGTCTATGACTTTGCCAGTATAATATCCAATGAGGGTCGTTACACCGTATAACGAAGTAAACCCACGTTTCTTCCACGAACCATTGCCAGATACTTTGAACTCTGTTGGAGGTCTTCCTTTGTTGACATTTTCAATTTGTTCCTCTTCACTGGCTTTTTTGCAGAAAATATCAAACATCGAACGTGCCGCTGTGTATATATGTTGCACACTTATAGTGTATGAACTCGTGCTTATACCTTGACCGATGTCCATAAGTCCACTAAATATATTTATACCTTCTCGGCCGATGCCTAATAGTCGCATAATGAAAACGATTCTTCGGTTAATTTCATAGCTAGTATTAATCAACGGCCCTGAATCGATTTCTTTACGACCACAAGTACATCGAACAATAAGTTTAAAACCGAGACCGCGGTTTCCGGATTCTTCAAACTTTACATTTTGCTTGCATTGTCTACAAATAAGCAACTCCGCGAGCGCGCCAAAAACAGTTACAAATTCTACAATTCTATAATAATGTAGTGGATCATAAATTATATCATCACTACTCGCATTTTAAATTTTTTAGCGGTGTCACTCTGCTCCACATCCTTATCCTCTTTCGTAAATTTATTGCCATGAAACTATCTCTTTCGCGGTCTTGATGCACGTGCTGACTCTTCTTTTTTTCCTTTTGGATACAATTTATTGTTTTCACACAGGAACGTCTTCACACACCGAACAACGGGGCTCGACTGACTGTTAGCAATAACCGCCTCGAAACGAACTTTTCAAAAATCCGTTGTGTTTAAAACAGCTACCTCGACTACACTTATACAAACAAACACATATGCAGACTACACAACAGATCAGTGTTCACAAACGCTGACTCAACATCTGCCGAAACGATAGTCCTGTGCGAGAGACCGAGAGACGGAGCGTCGCTAAGCGCTCTCGCCGTGCGTACGTCACGCATACCTACGTGACGCGTACCTGTTTCGTGAGCTGTATCTACCGAACGACTTCGAACTACTCTCTATAGCTTTAGGAATATTTTCTCTACGAATACTACTATCGATTTTTGAAAAAAAAAAAAAATCGAAAATTTTGACTTTGTAACCGAGTTGGTCTCCTTATGTTGCCCCTCGCCGCGCGCGCTCGCCTAACGCCACTCGTTGACTCCGCCTGTATCAAATATCTACGTGCTTACTGCGGTCGCGCTCCGCTCTCTACGCGCTTGTTGGCTCACATCTTTCAATTAATAACTCGGTTATTAATAACTATTGCCAATTTGACATTATGGTACATGACTTTTCTTCTCGGCTACACCCAATCTATTCCCAACTTTCGTCTGCATGATAAGCTTTCAAACACCCTATATATAGTATATAAGTATATATAAGTATAATTAATACAATAAATATTAATAATATATACGAGGGTGGTCCGATAAGTACTTAGCCTACAAAAGAAAAACGAAAATTTTGGAAAAGTGGCGATTTATTTCTCAACATAGTCTCCTTTTAGCTCGATACACTTGACCCAGCGATGCTCCAACTTCTTTAACCCGTCTGAAAAATACGTTTTCTCGAGGTCTGCAAAGTAGGCCTCCGTGGCGGCGATGACCTCCTCATTCGACTCAAATTTCTGCCCGGCGAGTGAGTTTTTCAAGTTTGGAAACAAAAAGAAGTCGCACGGGGCCAAATCTGGAGAATACGGTGGATGGGGCAGTAGTTCGTAGCCCAATTCGACCAATTTGACCGTGGTGAGGTGTGAGCCGGTGCGTTGTCATGGTGGAAGAGCACTTTTTTCTTCGCCAAATGAGGCCGTTTTTTCTGCAATTCGGCGTCGAATCGGCCCAATAATTCGGCATAATACAGCCCTGTGACCGTTTTGCCCTTCTCCAGGTAGTCGATGTAGATCACACCTTGTGAATCCCAGAAAACGGTGGCCATCACCTTTCCGGCCGATAGGACAGTCTTCGCCTTCTTCGGAGCACGTTCGCCGGGTGAAGTCCACTGTTTCGACTGTTCCTTGGTCTCTGGTGTGTACCAGTGGATCCATGTTTCGTCGACGGTCACGAAACGACGCAGAAACTCCTTCGGATTGCGCTTAAACAGCGTCAAACACTGCTCTGAAGTGGTCTCACGGTTGCGCTTGTTGTCCGGAGTGAGCAAACGCGGCACCCATCGCGCCGACAGCTTTCTCATGCCCAAAATTTCATGCAGGATATGACCCACGCGGTCTTTTGAGATGCCTACTGTCTCAGCTATCTCACGCACCTTCAATCGGCGGTCTGCCAATACGAGACCGTGGATTTTTGTCATGTTATCCTCCGTGGTAGCCGTTTTCGGGGCACCTGGGCGTGGCTCATCAAAAACCGACGTGCGACCACGTTGAAACTCGTTAAACCAATTTTTGACGGTCGCCATCGAAGGAGAAGAGTCACCGTACACAGCATCCAAGCGCTCTTTGATTTCGCTGCGCGATTTCCCTTCCAAAAACAAAAATCGAATCACCGACCGATATTGCTCTTTTTCCATTTTTCTAAAATCCGCGGACATGCCCGCTTCCACACGCGGTCAAAACAAAACTACGAGTCCGATTCGGCTGAAATTTCGACAGTAGCCGTCTACGAGAATGTACTACACGATAGTAAATTTCTCTTGCGATAGTGGCGCCATCGGGCGGTGAGGCTAAGTACTTATCGGACCGCCCTCGTATGCTTGTATTGAGATGCATAAGTATAGTAATTTAGTAAAATTAGAATAATTGATACTTACATTTAACATAAAAAAGAACACAATAATAATGACGCTAATATGCAGTAATAATGAATAAAATAATATTTTAAAATACATTTAAATTTTTACATTATATAATATAATACTATTTTTATATATAATTATATGTATACAATTATAAATGTTATATACAATTTTAAATAAAAATTATAAACAAATTTTACATATAATTATAAATAAACAGTGTTTAAAATTATTTTTATAAAAAATGAAACGTAAAGACAAAATGATAATTAATATATATACATATATATGTAATATTTTTATTATGAGTTTAAAATTTTAGCTTATACGTACATTTAATCATTGGTAAACAAAGATATATATTTTACAGATGATATACATGAGGTATTAGGTAATGAAAACGATGACTCTGACTGCAATAGCAGTATTCATAGTTATGAATACCCAAATTTCAATTCAAGTGACGATAATGAAACAGAAGCATCAGATATAGAGTCGATTGAGGATGAAACAGAGAATGATGGTGAAATTATGATTAATGATAACTTCATACAAGTTATTGCTACATGGATGAGACAATTCAAAACATCACGAGAAGCCAAGGTTGATTTATTGAGAATTTTAAATTTACATACTAATGTAAAATTTCCAAAGGATCCACGAAAACTTCTCCATACTCCTACATCTACAGATGTTAAAGAAATGTGTCAAGGACAATACTGGCATAGTGGTTTAAGAAATGCAATAATAAATATTTTGAATAAAAGGCAATATTTACAATTACATTTAGATAATAAAACAGTTAATCTCTTCATAAATGTTGATGGTGCACCTCTTGATAAATCAACGCAAAAATGTCTGTGGCCTATATTATGTTCAGATGACATTATTAAAGAAGTTCATGTTGTCGGTATCTACTATGGAGAAGGAAAACCGAGTGATGCGAATAAATTTTTAAAATCATTTATAGATGAAGCGATTTCATTAATTAATGAGGGTATTGATTTTAATAATAATAATTATAAAATACGAATCAAGGGAATGATATGTGATTCACCAGCTAAGGCGTTTATTTTAATGGTTAAAAGTCACAGCGGCTATGATAGTTGTACAAAATGTTGTATTCATGGAGATTACATTGAAAACACAATATGTTTTCCAGGATTTTGCGATGTACTTAGAACTGACAAAATGTTTAAAAACTTTAATTATAATTTAAATTATCAAAATAAAGAAACCAAGCTCATTAACATACCGTACTTTGAATTGGTATCTAACGTTCCGTTAGATTATATGCATCTGGTGTGTCTAGGAGTGATGCGTAAGTTAATTCAGCTTTGGTTAAACGGACCAATCAATAAAAATGTACGACTTCAGTCCAACATTGTGCATGAAATTTCTAATGCGTTAACAGATTTTGTACAATTTATACCATCGGATTTTAACAGAAAACCAAGATCTCTGAAATACTTAAAATATTGGAAAGCCACGGAATTTCGTTTATTTTTATTATACTTGGGACCAGTAGTTTTACATAAACATTTAAGAAAAGATTTATACAATCATTTCCTAGAATTACATGTCGCTATTACTATCTTAGCTTCACCAGTTCTTTCTCTTCATGATGTAAATGTATCTTATGCGGGACAATTATTAAATCATTTTGTTTCGAGTTTTGAAACATTATATGGTAAAAGGTATATCAGTCATAATGTGCATAATTTGCAACATATTGCAGCAGATGTTAAGAAATATGGAGCCTTAGACAATTTTAGCGTATTTCGATTCGAAAATTTTATAGGAACATTGATAAAACTTGTGAAAAAGGGTGAAAAGCCACTCCAACAAATTTCCAGAAAATTGAAAGAGTATGAATTAACGTCGCAAAAGAAAATAAAAATTTCTGAAAATTTAATCAGATTGGAACAACGCCTTATAACGGTATTATGTGTCAAAATACATTCTTTTTAAAACAATATAAAGAAATGTACAAAGATGATTTTTACGTTTGTATTACAGATAACAAGAATAATTGCTGTTTATTAGATGATGGCTCTATTGTTGAAGCGCTAAATTTTGTTTTTCATGATAATATATCATATGCTATTGGTAGAGAATTTGTGAAATTAAAAAGTTTATATGAATATCTTATGAGTTCATTTGATTTTTCGATCCACGTGTGTAAAGTAAATGATGTTATTTTATCATGGCTATGTTTATCTATAAGGGCCAAATTACTAAAATTACCTAAAAATAATAAAAAAGCACATTCCGTTATCGTTTTTCCTATTCTGCATACTACAATTAATTATATATAAGATTTATTTTTTGTAAATAAAACTTTTGTAATTTTATCTTTTTAATCAAATATATGTACATTAAAATCTGTATTTTCAATTTTATTGCTTATTTCATCTACACTTTTATTTTATTATTATTTACTAAATATAGAAAACTATGTTTTTATATCAAATTTGCATGGTTTTTCATGATAAATAATCCTATATAACTGAAGATTATACACACATATACACACTTACACACAATTTATACTACAATCAATTTTAAATAAAATTTTAAAAATTGTTTATTAACGCGGCATTTTAATTGTTCTAAAAATTTCAAATACAAAGTTTATATTATATTTCATTATTATAATAATTATTATAATTAATTATAAATATATATATTTAATTTTTTGTAAGTTCTAGTCTATCAACAAATTTTCATAAATAGTACAAATGCAATGTTGCATCTGAAATGTTTAGAAATATAATAAATATAATAATAAAAA